CTTTCTTTCATAGTCTTCAAACAAAAGCTCTTTGCAAGTTCTTTTTATTAAAAAGTTTCACCCGATACCGACTGACTCTTTGTTTCGAAGGATTTAATTAGAATGCAATAACTTCAGCAGTTTCTGACGGACTTTGTAAAGGTAACGGCTAATAGCTAATCAACGGGTCGTGAATTCTATGCCCTTAAGGACCGACTTGTTTCTCATAAATTTTATAAATGTGTTAAAATTCATATCTAGATTTTCCAGACGTGATTGCTATGAAAATTTTCCCTCAGGGTAATGTTCAAATACAAAATAGACCGATAACGCATCTTGTTTAGATATATGCCTTTACATTAAGTGATTCCATCATCATCATCATCATCATCATTGTCAGCCCGTTTGGGTCCACTGCTGGACGTAGGCCTCTCCCAAAGCATGCCACTCGGCCCTCTCTTGAGCTCTATTTATCCAAGTGATTCCACTACGTATCTATCATCGTGCGTCATAAAACGAAGGATCGATATTTTTTATCTTTAAAATTTATTGTAAATAATTAAAAGATACAGTCTGTAGTTTACGCGAGTAATACACATTTAAATAAAACACTTATTAGTTAAACTTATTTGAGAATGATTTTGTCTCCCCGTGACCACGGCTGCTGCAAAGCATCCTAAACGGGCCGAAGTTAAAAATCATTTTCAAATAAGTTTAACTAATACATCGCGTTTTAAACCGTTAAAGTGTTTTATTTAAATAATTAACAGTTTCTGGAAGGCAATTCAAGGTGTAAGGTTTGGTTGGTTCAATTATATTTCACCGGTGTCGAGGCGAGGAGCTCACTTATGAGATCCTCAAGGATTAGAGGGAGGACGGCCATAAGGTTGTTACGCTGTGGCAAGAACACCTTGCCACCTCTCGGGTAGGCGATAGCGCCTGTGCTGCAGAGTGGCTGAGGACGTAGCGGTGGGGCAGGGCTTCTTCGGCAAATATCTGCACAGGATCCGGCGGGAGGAAACTGCCCCCTACCACCACAAAAATTATATTTCTAAGAAAGGATTAAATATGCAGATAGCCTTTTTTTTATAGTTAATATTATATTTTCATACTCTGTAATCCCCGCTGGCGGGCCTTGTTTAAAATAAATAAGGATAAACAATTTTAATAGACGATAGGTAGTATGTTTAATTACTTATTAGAATTTTTTATGAAACTTAAGAAAACTAATATATTTTACTCTAATAAGAATGACTATAAGTGAATCTAGCAAGAATTAATTGTGGTTTATAATTAGGTACCATTAGGTAACAAAAAGAAAAAAAAATCTAATTTTACTTTAACCTGTAAAAGATCTTTATAGATAAGATGTTCTAAGCGTTAACATCCTCCTACTACTCCAGTAGGGGTGCATCGAACTTTATAACAAAAAAACATAATTTTCAATAAGGAGGAGAATAAAATAAGACGACGTCGTGCACATCAAGCTTTGCCCACTACTGCGTTTTAATAAATGGCTATATCTGGAACCGAAGACTTGACGTGTTCTCCGAGGCCAGGGGGATGACATCTAGTACTGATAGAATTCGTAATACAGAAGAAACATGTCGCCCTACTTAGTATCATTTTTTTTAATTAGAAGGACAAGCCTGGGGCACACTTGTAGAAAGGTGAAATACTCCAGTAACTTAACATCTACACTAGATGTCGATATTAGTCTATTTTGGTTTTCGATATTCGAAATCGATCTCGGGACCTCGCGATCTTCAGCCTATTAATAACTACTACACCTAAGAAGTAATATTAACCCATATCACCACCACCCATACCACAAAGTGTCACAAAGACCCACATCGATCGGCATTAGATGAAACGTCAAGTGCCATTCGTTTCATCCGGCACTTAAAATAAAAGCGGCGAATAAAAAACTTCAATTTGTTTTCATGCAAATTGTAGTCTCATAGATGCTATAAACTTACTTTATTTATCTCCTAACATTATAAAGAACAATGCTTTCACCGAACACATCAAAAAGGACATTTCGCGATATTCCCAAACAAAATGTACGACATTTTAATTCAGACGCGATCGCGACGCATACGACACGCCGGCGCTACAGAAAAACCAATCTTAATGCCCGTACATGTGGTATAAAATAGCAAAGCAATAACAAATATAGGACTCTGTTAACCCGAATGAAGCTTAAAGTTTTTATCTATCGCTGATACTTGCGTCTTAACGAGTCTAAACTGATATTGAACTTTATGTAAATGGGGTAGAGATGAAAATTGCGTTGTTGTTGCTTCGCTATAAAAAGTCCCGCATATAAGTTGGCTGTAAGCGTCCGTATTAAGGTGTCTCCATAAAAAAGAAGTTAGCTCCTTGTTACAACCGTTAAGGTGTGTATGAGCCCTAAGGTGGTGATTTGTTTTTCTTTTTACGAGAAGCCATTTAGAAAAGGTTGAATACAATCTTTAATGCGGACTTCGTGTTGTAATAACGTTCGGATTTTATGTTAAACTGTTATTCTGAGATACTTTTTGCTACGTAATTTATTTAATTTAAATAATTAATAGTAATTTTGTTCATACTTAATTATACGTAACTTGATTCTGGCCAGCAAATTTCGTAAAAAGACAATGTATTCTAATTAGAATGGATACTCTGTCGTTTGGTTCCACTTTCGAAATTAAAAAATAATAATATTCTTTACTGCAATATACATTGTATAGTGTCTCTAGTCCCCACAATAGGGCATAAAATGTAACTCCACAATGGTGCTCGACAGGGTGTATGGGTATGTGTATCTTCATGCATGAGTGAAGTAGTTTAAATAAAACCCTTTAACGGTTTAAAACGCGATATATTCGTTAAACTTATTTGACTTAAACTTATTTGGGGAGACCTGTCTCCCCGTAACCACGGCTGCTGCAAAGCATCAGAAACGTCGAGCCGAAGTTAAAAATTATTGTCTGAAGTCTGAAGTCTTAAAGAAATATTCTTCTTTACTTTTCATTGCTTACTAATAAAATAATTAATAGTCAGTAATAAACTCTAAATATGTCAATGATAAAAGGGTCATACTACAGCGTTCCACACGGTTACTGAATTAGGCCACCTACGAGTAATGTTTTATTTAATTACCATGTTTACTTGGTCGTAGGTTCAAGTCCCGCTCGTGTCATTATATATTTTTAAATTTAAAACATTTTAAATTTTCATCGTGCTTAAAAGGTATGTTTTATATGTGTGAAAATATTATTTTATTTACAGAATGAGTCATTATTTACACTATAAAATTTATATAATATAGTTTAACATAAAATTAAACTAAAATATATATTTTATATTTATTTATTTATTGATATATACAGATAATAAATGTTTTTGAGATTTTTTATAATTCTAAAATAAACAAGTCGCCATTAAAAAACCTTCTCGATGGCCTAACCATTTACCTAGCTGTTCGTTTAGAACGAGAAGTTTGGGTTCCATTCCAGGAAACAATAAATGTTGCTAGTGAGTGAAATTGATAATTGAAACCCTATGCCCTGGATTCAGGGTTTAAGTTCTTTTCTCGAAACTTATCATACGAAAATATTCCCATGTTAGTTCGAATAAAGAAATCAGGTTTACGACTTGCGTCCAAATGATAGAGGGTGTCGAATTTTAGTCAATAGACTAGTGATTTATTCCTAACTTGTTTACCCCGTGGTGTCACCTGCTTTAAGTTCGTTACACCGTATAGTTTTAAGTGCCTCTAAAATATATGACATAATTATAGTTGTTTATAATTTCGCAGTATTTATAGAATGTTTTAAATTTTGCGGTATTATTTATCTGACGAGGGATAGACTGAAAATCAGCGCTTAGCGATCTATGCTGAGCACAAGCTGAGTCTTTTAACAGATTTTTTTCAATGTTATTTTTTTATTATTATATATTTTATTAGTATGTTTTTATGTCATTGTGATAATAAAGACATTATTGGTTTCTTGGTGAATCGTAGGAAATAGTTTCAAATATTAATATATAGTCTTTTGTTATAATGGATACTAGGAAAAAATGTGTGTGTGTGTGTGTGAAATCTCGTTTCTCCTCGTGGGGCATACGTCGAACACATTCTATGTCCGTTTCAGTGATCGTTTTTATTTACAGGTTAGTAGTTGATCAGACTTCTGTGCCCTGCCCAACTGAAACATATTTATTGTTTCCCCGGGATTTGAACCTCTCGCGCTTAATGCAATGCTAGGCAACACGTTTACCTATTTAGCTGCAGAGACGGTCAACTAAGAAAGAATATATATTTATTGTTTTATCAATTGCTAAAAAACACTTGTTTATTTTAAATGTTTTCATACGCTATTGCTGGTTTTTTGAAACGGCGTAGGTGTAAATGCGTAGCGCGCTACGAAGGAGCTACGTCGTAGGAGTTTTTAACAATCTAGATTTTAGACTATTGTTGTTTGAATTCTCTCGAAGAAACTAATTAATTCTTTAGATCAGTTTTTTAAATAGCGGAATAATTACTGGTAAATATTAAGGAAGGTAAAGTATACTAAACCTGTAATTTGAAACAATATAATAAATACATTTATACATTTGATAAAGTAGTAATTTAACTACAATGCATAAAATTTGACGTGTACTGTATCCAAACATGTAGAAACACAATACTATTATTCAAATGAACCTCCTAACGCCATCTATTATGCATAACAGTAAACATCTAATTAAGTGAAAAGAGTGTCTTAAGTTTATTGATAAAAGTATAGTGATGCAAAACAATTTCCATACAATCGATTTAACAAGAGTCGATACAGGTGTTAAAAATTCCGAGTCGTAACAATGCACGTTACATATACGCCAATTCTGCGACATGATCAAAATGTCTGTGAAAAACCAATGAAAACCAAAAAGAAAACTTGAACGAAAATGCCCGTTGAATGCCCGGTGAAGTGAACGTTGCACTTTCACGATTAAAAAAACAAAAAGAAAGCAAAATAAACTACGCGTTAGAAATGAACCGGGCTATAGTTCCCATTTGTATCGCAAATAGTGGCAGCGCTGGTGTCGCTTCACACACTCTAGTTCCGCTATTCACCGCTGTTAGTTACGGCAGCACATGTTGACTAATGAAATAAAAATTATATTTTTATTAATTATGTACGTTTTTTATTCTTGTTATTAAATTATAAGAATAGATTTAGGTATTTAATAATTTCTATATCACGATTTAAGTATAAATATTAGTATAGGGACCGTACAAATGAGCCTCTAGTGTTTTGAAAGTTTCTGAGTATTTTGTTGTAGAATCGCCGCAATAGGCTTCGGTTGGCCACCGAGTCCTCTATTTGGCGAAGCGCGTATACGTCAGCACGCGCCGTAAAAAAAGCACGCAAAAGCGTCGATCATGTGATCAGTCGACACATCGAAACGGGTCAAGCACAACAGGTGAGTTGCGGAGCGCATCAACTAAAAAATAAAATATCGAAATGCGAAAAAATAATAAAAATCAGCAAATATAGTAAATTGAAAAAAGAACGCGGCGTCCCGCTCGCACCCGCGGCGCCGCGCGCATGGCGTCCCCGTCGCGAGTCGCGCACGTGGTTTTCGGCGGTCCCGCGGAGGGCCACGGCGGGTAGCCGGGGGCGGGGGCGAGGCAGACGGAGGACTAGAATGCCACATCCCGTCGCGGCCCATGCCGACCGGCTGCGTTGCCCGTAACCTCCGACTGACCTCATTTTTTTTTCTCCAATGTAAATATTCGGCTCCGCCGCATAGTCTATAAGCGGTATTAGTTCCTCCGTCAAGTTTTACGCCTTTCATTTCTTTACGTTCGTTAGCATCGGAAACGACTCAAGTGTTCAGGACTTTTATCGTACTTTTAAGTGATAACTTAGCGGGACTGTGCTTAGACGGTTAGAAACTTTGTACAAAGTCAGTTTAGGTGTTGGATCTAGTTTCCTTGTGGTGTTCCGGAAGTTTAGATTATTTAGCGTAAGCGATCGAGATTTGTGTAAATACGTGAGACCAGGTAAATGTGATGTAATGTAAGCGCTTACCGTTTTGTTTGTGTAATTTTAGTTTTTCGCTTTTTTAAGTTTTTTTTTGTATCTCTATTTTAATTTTATATTACAAATAGAAAAGATCATAAATCTGTAAAATCTTGTTGGAAATCCTCTAATTGTTGTCTTTTTTTCTAATTGTTTATTTTATAGTCATGATAAAATGATAAGTTAACGTACCAAATGTTAAATATGCACAATGCAAAAAATGTGCAAAATGTTAAAAATTAAATAAAAATATTCGTCTCCATCGTAATTTCACAAAAATATGTGATGACAAATTTATCGCCGAAAACATTGAATTATTGTGTTCTAACAAGTAGAATCATTCTAGTAAAACAAATTACCATTTGTAAAGGTGTAATTATAAGAAGTCTAAATTGTGTCTTGTGAGCGTTAAAATTAACATAACATTAAATCCTATAATGTAAAACCTCCTTTCGCCGTTGTAAAATGCCAATTTAAAACGCATCTCTGGAAAATTCCTTTAAAATTTCATCGCGAAATTATCATGAAGATACTTGCTCAGACGGATTTTCGAAATCGATGTCTCGTTAAAAATCACGGCGGGTTCACTGACTTTGCCGCAGCAGCTGGACCGAGTTCAGATAAAAGAATCATAATATTAATTCATCGAATCTGACGGATTTTTATATGCGGACTTTTATAGTTGGTAGATTGGTTTTTCGTTATTCCACACGACTTATCGTCAAATAACAAACAGATAGCCTAGGAATGAACGCGTAAAGTATCTTAAACAAAATTATTACGGAAGGTATTTATAATTTACGAAAAATGTTTCTCTATAATAGCACTTGTATTTATATTTGACTAGAAGACAAAACAAAAGAGTACCAAAGGATATACCAAATTTTACCGCGACCAACTAATCTGTATGGTAGTATAATAAAGTAAAAAAGATGTACAATTTTGGACGTTAAACAATTTCCCGCTAATGTGTGTATTTCATTTTGTGCTGGTATTTTATTTTTTATATCTTCCTCTAAAAAACTTCTCAGTGCAATATTTGCAAAAAACGAATTTCTTAATGAAATTCGTCACACCATATCTCTAAAATTTACTAAAGTTCAAAAACTAAAACCTTATGTAACCAAAAGAATTATTATCACAAGTTGTAAGTAAAGTCTTCAATCTATTTTTGACTTGCCTAAAACTGACAACTGGAACTTTGCCTAAGAAAATTAAACAATAGGATTAAAAAAGAAAAAAAAAGAGAATAGAAATATGTAAATTAGTCTTAAATTAGTCTAATCTTTTGTTAGATTTAAGTAGATACGAAGATATTTTGCGTTACAGAGTTTTAAACGCAAAATTGGTCCCGATAAATTGGTCCCACGCAGCATGCCGGTAAACCTCACAACAAACAGTTTATAAAAATAAACGCGTAAAAATTCTCTTTCAACGACATTCATTATTATGCATAAAATGTGTTTTAACTTTTAAATACGTATCTCTCATTGATATTGTCGATGCCGATTACGCGGATTTTTTGCGAATGATTGAATTTTATTTACAATTAACCCCGGCTCGGTATCGTCGAAAGCGAGAGTGACGATTAAATGCCATTTAAAAATAAAACAACCGCCACCATAACACCGGAATTCGGATAATTTATTTTTTTACACTTATCCTTTCGACGATTTTCCGCTGGCTCGCGGATATATCGTATTGTGTGTTCATTTATAGACCTATCGCGTTGTAAGGGAGCGGGTAAGGCGTAACGTCTTAGAGGTTAATCTTGAGAAGCCGCCCAAAAGAAAACTCGAGTCCGCCCGCCTAATTTGTCTTAGGCGGAAAAATCGCGCGCCGATTACAAGTGGCTCGTAACGAAGTCGGCCCCGCGGCGAGAGAGGCGCGGCAAAGCAGGCTGAGGGGTGGTCGCGGGGGCGCGCGGGGGCTAGCGAGCGAGGGTGGTGGCGCGGTGGGCCGCGAGCTCTCAGTCGTCCGTCTGGAGTCGCGGCGGCCGGCCGTGCCGCGCGGCGCAATACACGTTCCTCGTGCTCTTGTGATTGTAAATTTAATAAGACAAAATTTCAAAAATAATAATTAAATTTAAAAAAATTCTAACCGCGTCTAATCGATATTTTTAGACATCCCCCCCGATTTTTTGGACCGCTGCCGCGTCGGCGGTGGGTGAGAAGTTTTTGCGAAATTTTTAATATTTACGTCGGTTACATTTGTAAGAGATTAAACGTTTGGCCGTTATTGAATGTATTTTTTATTTATAGTTTATTTTTTCGATGCGTACGACATAGTGAGCGACGATATGATAAGCGTTGAATTAATGATAAGGACTTAGTAATACGAAACTGGCTGCCGCGTATAATTAAGAATACATATAACGGACTATTGTGATTTATAAAGACTTAGAACTTTTGTGATCTGAACGTAAGAACAATACAGGACCAAGGTGCATAAATTTAATACTTACATTTTATTTATTTGTTAGTTTATCTTTTATATATTGTGTTCGTAGCGCGCTAAACGTATTTACTATCTTCATTTCCTATTTAGCTAACCGCCCGTCGGCTACGTCTTATGTAAAATAAAAACTTATTTTTCTCTGTTTTATTTTTCAGCTATGTATTTAATTATTTATAGAAAATTTATTAAAATAAATCTTTATTTTATTTTTGGTTTTTGTTATTTGTTCCTTTTTTATAAGTATTTAGTGTGTAATGAAGGTAAGTATTTAGATATAAAGAGCTAGCAATTATTAAACACATAGTTTTACTAAATGTATTTTGATATTAATGTTACTTTAGTTTAAGGACTCTCTTTAAACAACATTTAAAATATATTAGTGTGCAGTTAGGTAATGCTAAGTAGGTAACGAACGTCTTAAACAAGTAACAAAATTTTCCCTAGCCTTTAATTACAAGAATAATTAATAAATCCACATTACAATGAAACGCCAAAGAATCATAGCGTGATAAGGTTTCATATTAAAAAAACTATCCGCTTTACTGAATAATTGCATTATTATTTTGACAGGCGTTTTTTTCTCATACTTGTAATTCTGGAAGTAACTCTCCTAAAACCAATAGTTATGTTTACTTCCAGTTCAGTAGCTGCAGTAACTGTAAAAATGAATATATAATATCAAAACATTAATTGCTTAACGTTTATTATCCTTAATCGTTAAATATTGAATAGAATTAAGAGTAACCAAAAAATGTTTCTGCGTAAGTGTAGAAACATATCTTTATTAATATAAAAAAGCTGAAGAGTTCAGTTGTTTGAACGCGCTAATCTCAGGAACTACGGGTTCGAATTGAAATATTTTGTTTGTGTTAGTTAGAGCGTTTATCGAGAAAGGCTATAGATTAAAACACGCCCTGTGCCTAATACAGCGACAAATGTGAGAAAAAACGGTAAAGTTATTAATCATAATGGGCGCACATTTTAAAAACGGTTCAAGATACCCAAAAAATTAGTATGATTCCACTTTAAATGATATTTACACAAATTAATTAAATTTAATTCCGCTATATGTCTATCTTTGAAGATTAACTTGCAAGAACGACGGGAAGGGACGCGACCAACATCTTGGGTATCAGCGATAATAATAAACGATGTGGAGTATGCAAAAAACAAATTTAGCAGGGCAAAGTAACTGATCTACGCGGGCGAAGTCGCTGACACAGCTAGTATTGGATATAGAGTTTAAAATATCTACAATATGTTTAGATCTTCGTGTTTGCTAAAAATAAATATACAGGCGTAAAATTTTACATAAGAATTTAAAAGTAGGCATACAATCGAATAGTTTATTTGTATTTGTGGAGAATACTCTTTTTCTTAAGACCTCATTAAAATATTAATTCCTTATATGTTCAATGTAATAATTGAAATTTTAATATTGTGTTATAGTTAAATTTTGTGGTCGAAATGTTATTATTCAATAATTGGTCGAAAAGTTAAATATGTGTCGAATGACAAACACATTAATATTCATTTAAAACATGTATTTATATTGCTTTGACATATACATGTAGGACTGTTTTATTAGAAGTTATTTTTTTAACTTCATACTAAATTAATTGAATATTTTTTTTATGTTCAATAAACATTACTGCTACCTAGCGGAGAAACAGCATTTCATTCAACTTTTAAAACTATAATACAATGCTGTCGTTATATAATTTGACACTAGGTGGCGTTGCTATCACAAGCGCAAGCGCATGCTACTTTATTTTGAAGTTAACATATAGATGGCGTTAAACTTAGAGAATAATCCATAACATAATTTTACTTAGTCCGGGACACAAAAATGCAGTATAAAAACATCTTTAAGTAGTCAACTTAAATAGATCATATGTATAAATATACGAACTTAGTATATCCTTTTTCCAAAACGCGCTGGTTTAGTTTAGTAAAAATATAATAGATGTCGCCACTGTGGTTTAAAAGGTGCCGAAATGTTTTAAACTTATCTTCGTTTTAGAATAGTTGAAAATATAACAAACCATATTATCATTGTGTATATCTGTATATTGAAACTAAGTTCGTCAAAGTAGGTGGTACACTTCCTTGACTGGTTACAAAGCAAGACGGTAGGCGTACTAAGACGTGTGTGGGTGGAAACTTCTAAGAAAGTGGGCGTGGCAAGACGTAAGCGGAAGTCGCACACGATTGGTTTACATTTTACTTAGAAGTTAGATTTCTTAAGCTTATGTAGGAGATATCTTTTTATAAAGCCAAATTGTCAAATAGGCTTGTATACCTATATTAATATTGTAATGGAACACGTTTGAAGATTGATTTCTAGTTAGTTCATATGTAATGTATATTCGGTAGTCTTTTTACATAAGAGTAAGACGGAATTTTTTTTTAGTAAAAAGTGGACTGTCATTACAGGGGTCATAAAATTTCAATCGAAAGTTTTTGATTTCAAAAGACATAGATACTATAAATCTATAAGGGACTGTCCACAATAAGTCTGTCTCTTAAAAGCGTAGTGGATTTTCATTGGTTGATACTCAATGACAATTTTCAAATGTGTTGTGGAAAAGACTTATATAACAGCACATTCGTTCTTTCTTACGTTATGACGTCATTTACCTATTTTAATGGCATTTATTTTAAATGACAGTTGAGAAAAATACACATAAAACTAAACGTAACGTAAACGTAGTGGCTAAAAACGCAAGTACAAAACTTCTTCGATAAAGTCTGAGAAAAATCAACTAGATGTATTAACTACATCGTATTGAAATAATAATTCCAATCGCATTAGTGGTTCTAATAAGAGATAATTAATACAAAATAATAAACCTTTGTCTAAATATATATAGACAAAAGACCACAGAAATATATTTTCGCTAATTGATTCTAGTTTGGCAGCATTTTAAAACAAATCACCTTTAACGGTTTATTACACGAAATATATCAGTTAGCTTATTTTCAATTTAAATCCACAACTGCCCGACGCTTATGGTGTTAAACAGTAACAGTTATGTAATGTTAATACAAACGTTAGCGTGCTGTATTAATAAGTTACACAATGTCGAAATCGTCGCGTTTCAGCGAGTGATATTTGTGAGTAGCCAAGAAGTATTAAAAATACCGTCCAATAGGAAAGTAGGTCAAGACTCCCCGTCTTCAGTCGGTTTAGTGGGAGGGCCTAAGACGTGGGCGTGGCTTAAGTTCGTACAGCGGGCTAACTAGATTAATTTCAAACATATTTCCCATTCATATCAAGCATTAAAGGCTGTGAAAGTCAATTTAAATAACCGACGGGACTGGCTGAATGCCGCCTCTAGCCATGTACTGCGTCAAATGAATTTATTTAACTAATATTAGGTAGTTAACCTCGTAAAAAGTACTGTTTATACCCTTTTGCTCGTAGCTTCTTTATATGTTGATATAGGAGTCAAAAAATATATACCCAATATCACATTCACAAAATAAACAACACTTATAATATTTCAATAAAAATGTGAAATGTATTAGTTAACTGTGTCAAAGTTAGTCTAATATTTCACGTTTTGAACCGTTGAGCGTGTTTTATTTAAATGTGTAATCGCGTTAACTACAGACAATATTTAACACGTACGGCTGGTCTAACCAACAGACACGGTAGCTTAGTTTAACATTAATATAAGTAGAATGACTTATGTATAATTCGTAGCGGTTCTACGAAAAACGTAGCATGGTCTACCTTTAGAGTTATAAAATGCTCTATTTCATATAACCTTAATATATATATATATATTTATACTATCTCTGTTTTATTATCAATACTAAATTGTGCTTTAAAATCTTAAAAATGAGACATTTGAGGAGGTTTTTGAACAGTCTCCCCGTGACCACGGCTGCTGCAAAGCATCCGAAACGTCGGGCCGTAGTTAAAATAATCTTCAAACAAGTTTATCTAAAATATATCGCGTTTTAAACCGTTCAAGTGTTTTATTTAAATGTGTACTAATCGCGTAAACTACAGACAGTATTATTGATATATTAAACCTTTATAAGAGTTAGATATCGAAAACAACTATTTTTACTTAATAAAATGTATATACAGACACAAATTTCATAGTTATAAATGTTTCTTTTCTGTAGTTTACGCGAAAGGAAAATTATATTGTATTTTATATAGGAGTATATAGTTTGCGTTTAAAATATAATTGCATTTATCGCAAAGTGTTAAAATATATTTATCATTGCAGATACACCATCACTGGCCACCTGACGTCTCGCGTTTTTTTCTTTTTAAGGTGAGTTTTTTAAACACTTTTTTGGTTCTATAAACGAGGTTTTAATTTTGTACAAATCTAATATTCGACTAAATTGATTTAGGAAAATGCAATCGCTTTAATGAAACTGATCATTAAGCCAGTACATAGGATAACCAGTCCTTAAACCACTTAAATAATTAAAAAATAATATTACAGCGACCGGAAGCCTTTTTGAAACAAAATATACTGACCAAATTAATAGCTTTGAGCTTAGAAGCTCAAAGCCAAGTAGTTCTTTTATTTTATAATCAAGTCAAATGTAAATTTTTTATTCAATTTAGAATGTTTTTTAAATATTATGAATCGTTGT